GTATGTTGTCTCTGAATCCTCCCAATCCTGCGAGGTTGGCATTTTTATCCCTACTTTTTGGTAAGAACAAAATAGAGGCCCCGAGAAGCCAAATGACTTGCCCAGGATCATGCAGCAAGTGGCAGAGCAGGATCTGTGCTCAGAGTGTGGCTCCTGGACCTGCCTACTCCAGAAAGAAGGGGTTGCTGGTGAAGGTTCTGGGGTGAAGTGGGCAGAGCTCATGTCGGGGACAGCCCTGATCAATCCTCTGTGTGGCAGAGGCAGCTGGCGAGGAGGGCTGTGGAGGGCAGCAGTGGGGGCTGCGGTTGAAGAGGGGGGCTGTGGTTGGAAGAGGGTGACTGTGGAGGCAGACAGATTTATATGGGAGCCCCAGCTTTGCCACCTCTTAGCTGTGACACTTTGCACAAGGCACGTTAAATCTTGACCTCAGTTCCTCCTCGTTAAAATGGGGATTACATTGCTCACTTCAAAGGAATTCCTGAAAACTACATAATAATCATGACATACCAAAGGTTCTGATCCATAATAAGTGTACAATAAAAGTGAGACATGATCAGGGCTGGTATGGAGGCATCTCCATTAGCAGGTGACCAGACTCCTTCCATCTCACTGCTCTGCTATCCTTGGCATTCTGCCTCATGGTCCAAAGTGGCTGCTGAGCACCAGCCCTCATGTCTGCATTCCAGCCAGCAGGAAGGAGGTAAGGGTGAAAAAAGATGCCATTTCTTTATGAATATGTCCCAGAAGTTCATATAGATCACAACAAGCCAGTCCACTTTACGAGCGGAGGTAGACTCCAAAAGGTCTGATGATTCTCAGAAGGTAACGTGTGCAGCGGGGGAGCAGGATTCAAATGTAAGTGGGCTGCCATCCGAACAATAGCAGCCAACCGAAGGGCTCCCTGCACTCCAGCACCTATCCCAGAGCTTATACCTAGTCATTTAATCCTCGCAGCTAGTGAGGGAAGAGCTGGTTACCCCATTGTACAGAGGAGGTCACCGAGGCTCAGAGAGGGTAGGTGACGTGCTCAAGGTTTCAGAGCCAGTACATGGAAAGGTTGGGACTCCAATCCGGGAAGTCTGCTCCAGAATCCACACTTTGACCACCACGCTCCACTGTCACTCAGCATTGTAAAGACTCCCCTTGGAATCCTGTCTGCAAATGTGGTTCAAGTTGAGATGAGAAATGAGGCAAGGGAGGGCCGCTGTTGTCTAACAGTCCCATGTTCAAAAATAATAAAGTACAGCGTGGGCAACATGGTGAGACCACCGTCTCTACAAAAAGTAAAAATTAACTGGGCGTCATAGTGTGTGCCTGTAGTCCTACCTACTTGGGAGGCTGAGGTGAGAGGATCGCTTGAACCTGGGAGGTTGAGGCTGCAGTGAGCCAAGATCACACCACTGCACTCCAGCCTGGGTGACAGAGTGAGACCCTCAAAAATATATATAATAATAGTATTAAAGTACTTCTTTTGCGGTGTATTCATCGCCTTGGGCTGCCATAACAATGTGTCATAGATGGAGTGGCTTAAACAACAGAAATTTCCCTCAGTTCTAGAGGCTGGAAGTCCGAGATCAAGGTGCCAGCAGGGTCCATTTCTGGTGATGAATTCTCCCTCACTTGCTGGCTGATTCACTGTGTCCTCATGTGGTGGAGAGAGAGAAAGATTTCTCTGCCTTCTTCTTAGAAGGTGACAGTCCTATTGGATTAGGGCTCAACCCTCATGATCTCATTTATCCTTAAATACTTTCTAAAGACCCTATCTACAGATACAGTCATAGTGGGGGTTAGAGCTTAAACATCTGAATTTGTGGGGGCTGAGTGGAGGATGCAATTCAGTCCACAGCACAGGGTTAGTTTATTTCAGGAATTAATGAACTAGAATTTCAAAGTCAGGACCATAGATTCAAAAGGTGAGACCCAGCCTTTAACAGTTTAACTTTTCTCATGGTGTCTAGAACGATGTAATCAACATTCCCACTGTTCAGATGGGGAGAGTGCTGAGTGCCCTTGACAAAGTCCTTGGAAACAGCCAGGACCTAGACTTTGCTAGGGCAGTTGTTTGTAAACCCACAGAGGCGATGGGCCGTTTCCTAACTGTGATTGTAATCATCTTCCGAGCTTGGGTCTGGCTCACAAACGATACATTGCATAAACTAAAATCCTTTTCCCTTTGAGGCTCGCTCAGCAAGCTTACAGAATCTGGTTGATTGGTTTGTACTTGAGTTTTTTCCCTTCCTGGTGGAGACAGAGGGAAGTCATATGTCGGGTTCTGCCATGTGCCAGGCCCTTCACAAACATTAGCTCCCCGACCCAACCACTGCTCCTTGTTACTTCCCAGTTAGCAGCTTCGGGGTAAAGGGGCTCTCAGGGTCACACAGTGTCAGAGCTGGGAGTGAGCCCAGAGCTGTCATTCAAGCCCCTGTTTGCTTTTGCTGTGCTCTGCTGACCCCCAAAGGAGCTTCTCTTAGTAAAACAAAATTCTGTTTAAAAAAACTAAATATCCAAAATTCACCATCTGTTGCAATCTCAATGTATTAGGTTGGTGCAAATGTAGCTGCACTTTTGAAAGTAATTGAAATTGCCATTGAAAGTAATGGCTAAAACTGAAAACACTTTTGCACCAACCTAATAAAATGGCTGTGCTGGTGAAAACGCCTGTCGGAATGGATTTTTCCCCTTGGAATCTTGCCAATCAATTAATTTGCGGCTCTGCTATGGCCTCACTTTCTAAAACTTGAACCTGGGAGATTGAGGCTGCAGTGAGCCAAGATCACACCACTGCACTCCAACCTGGGTAACAGAGGGAGACCATATCTCAAAAAAATAGGTTTTTCAGCCTTCCCTTGCTGGGTTGTGCTCTATTCCTCCGTTTCCTCTGTAGTTGACACACTCCCGTGTGTGGGCAGCGTTCTCCACGTAGTAACACCCTGTACTAATGATGAGCGCGCTGTCTACGTGACTCTATTTAGGGCAAGGCAATTCGGTGTAAATCCTGCATGAGGAATTCAACAAGAACGGAAAGCTTCAGAGAAAAACATCCTGCGCCTTCCCCTTTGTCTCAGTCACTATGGTTTCTGGACAAATTAAGAAAACACTCAAGAAGCTTTTCTTTTTTTTTAATAGAGCTGAAGCAAAGAGCCTCAGATGGCCACAAAATGATGAACACATTTATTTTGATTTTTTACTTATAATACTTGCATATAGAGAATTACAATAAATATAATATTCCCTCCAATTAAACAACAACAAAAAACCTTCTCCGTACCAGAGCAGGGCAGCTGGCCAGGAGAAGAGGAGAAGGTGGCCCCTGTGCTCCAGGGCAGAAGATACCTGGCCCACATCCCCCTGACCCCAGAGAGTTGTGGGCCTCTGTCAGGAGGCACTGTCTCTAACAAGAGCCGTGGGTGTGCTCTGGGCTTTCTGTTTGCCACTGCTGCTCAGTGATCAAGCCACGTCATCTTTCTGAGTGTCTTCTTGTGACATGCAATGATGATATTCGCTTCAACTGGGAAAGGCAACCCTCAGATTCAGGGATATGTGTGTATTTGAGAGCCCTGGTGAACTCAAGCTGTAGAAATGGTGGTCTTTAGCAGAATCCATTCGATGAAATCAGAGCCAACCCAGGGCCTTGGGAGCTCTCCGGGGTGCTGAAAGAATTGTCCTCAGACTCCGAGGATCAGCATAGTCTGTGCATAGGAGTGAGCCAGTGAGAATGTCATTCACTGACCACCTACTGTGTGCCTGGCGCCTGGCTTCCTCCACAGCATTATCTCATTATCACACATGGTTGCTACCGGACTGTTTGCCTCTGCCTGGCCTCTGCTCAGCCCTCCTGCTCCTGAAGCCCCCAGTGCCAGCCACTGCCCCAACCCGTGTGTGGCCTGACCACCTCTGTCCTTTGGTCTCTAGCACAGCTGACCTGCCTGTGGCAGTGCCACCCAGCCAGCCTCCTGGGCCACCGACTTGCTTTGTATCTCCTGGCCTTGGAAAGGCTGACATGGGCATGTTTGTGAAGGAGCTTGGAAAACTGGAAGCTGAGGTTCTTAAGGTCACGTTTTGATTATTCTCTACCATGTTTGTCATGTGTGTTTGGTTCAGGAAAATTTGAAACTGAGCCTGGAGGACGGGGGTATTCAGGCTGTCATCCTATAACCCCATTCCCCTGTGCTGGACTGTTACAATTATTTCTATAAAATCAGCCTGTCCGTGGCACTGTGAGCCACTTGAGGGCGGAGCCTGTGCCTTATCCAGCCCTGTAGCTTCTGAGCCTGGCATAGGCTCCTGATGACAGTGAGGGCTCAGTCACTGTTTACGAACCCAGAAATGAAATGATGGAAGAGTGAGCCCACAACTTGGATTTCTGTCCTGAGAGCTGGCGTCTGTGGGAGAGGGTTCTGTATACACTCATGCCAGCCTGCACTCACTGAGCACTTGCTGGGCTTCTGGCTCTGCTCTCAAAACTGCACGAATATCAACATTTCCAGTACTCACTGCAACCCACGAGATAGGGACTATGATCCTCATTTTACAAATGGGGAAACTGAGGCAAAGAGCTATGCATAACTTGCCAAATACCGCACAGCAGGTCAGTTGCAGGGCTGAGACAAGAACCCCAGTGGAGTTGCCAGCTCAGCTGTCAAGCCTCTGCACCACCATTCCCGGTGCCAAGGCTTTGTCCTATCCCCCGTGGACCTAGTAACTAAAACTTCGGGTGACTTTCTTGATTGTGCCCAGTGACCATCACGCAGCTTGGGTGGGAAGAAAGGTCCTGGCTCCCACACTGCTGGGCGATGCTATGGGGATCACTGCATCTCTCCATGCCTCAGTTCCCCCAACTTCAGGGGGATGCTCACTCCTACCGTGGAACTGCGAGGAGGTCAGAGGCCATCTGTGTGAAGCCCAGGGCCCTGTGGTGGCATGATTGTATGCTGTGATCTGAATATGGTTAGTCATTATTGATGGTCTTGAGGTTTTCCTGTGTGGTGCTTCTATTTCAGAAAAGGAAAGGGGGCTGGCCTAAAGGCAAGAAGAGAAACCCCCTGAGGGACCTTGCTGTTCCGTGCTCCTACGACAGGGTAAGATGCAGGAGATTACTCTGACCCAACGTTGAAGTAATCTGCAGGGCTCACCCTGTGGCTTGGGCCATGTGGCTGGGTTGGCATGATCCCATCTCAGCCTTTGTCTGTTCTTTTAGGGCCCTTGGTTAGTTAGGGAACCTGAAACCACTGGGAGTGTGGGATGCGCTGCTTAGTTATTTAAGCTGTAATGAGGTCCTGGTGCTGGAGGAGAGAGGATAGAAGAGCCAGGCTTGGGTTCCAGACAGGCAAAGGGGTAGGTGTGGGCTTGGTGGGTCTGCTTTCCATCCCAGGTTTGAAGACATGGGTGCTCTGTGGCCTTGGGCAAGCTGGTTAACCTTCAGGAGGCTTAAGCCACCCTTCTCAGCACCTGGGACCTTGTCCCTTTCCCGTGAATCTTGCACCATAGAGGAAAGCTTCCATGCCAGCGGCTGACCAGAGCTCTGAGGGTCGCCTTGCCCCATCTGGAAGCTTGTACACTTTATCTTCAGGGTTCACACAGCTCTAACGCTGAGGGGCTTTCTTCAGTATTCCTGTGGCTCATATGGATGAAACTGGTTTGGCCACAGCCTTTCTCCCTCCCCCTCTAAAGAAGTCCTTGATCAGGAAGGGGAGGGGTCTGCACCTGGAGTATTAGGCCACACCTGTGAGCAGGTGGCATTATGTTCATTATACAGAGGGGGAAACTGAGGCACAGGTGGGTTAAGTGCTTTGTCCACATAATGCAGCATGGCTATTTGAACATGTCCCCTGCCAGACACAGCCACCCAGCCTTCATATACCTCGTGTCCTATGGGGAGCCCCTCTTCTCGTTCCTAGGCCTTTTACCAGACTCTGGGTTAGCAAAGCCATTGGAGGATGTTCCCCTCTTAGCCTCCAGTTTTCTGGTTAGACTGAACAAGATGGGCAAACCCGTGACTCGTTATGAAAACAGGAAAGTGGAATGAGCCGCCCCCGGCCGCTCCCTTCCCCACCGGTTCCCACAGCCAAGTACGTCCCTTCCCCGGCACAGGTACGTGATATTCATGAACAAGCAGAGAAGTCAGCTGAGGGCCACACACCCCGATCTGCCTTTCACGGAAATCACAAAGATGCTGGCTGCTCAGTGGGCTCAGCTGTCTCAGGACAAAAAGGGGTAAGTCCTGTTCTCTGTGGTGAATACAAAGCGAGTCCCTCCCTGAGATGGGGCCTGGGCAGCCCTCAGACACCACCAGGGGCCATTCCCTCCTAATCCATTTCTCCCACCGGAGCCAGAGGGAACCCTCTAGAGTGCAGACATGAGGTGCCACTCACCCACCCATTTAGAGCAATTCATGGGTCCTCTTGCTTTTGGCAGCATCTCCTAAACTGGGTCACACAGAGTGGCCCATCCAGGAAACATGGGCCAGTTGTCAAATAAGTCTAGGATCTGTCACTAGTGCCCAGCCCAGGACCCTCTGCAGGGAAAAGTGCTGATGTTTGCATGAGGGATCATTGAAGAGAAGTCTAACGTTCCCCAGGCGGGAGCTGATAATGCTGCCTTTCTCTGAAGTCATCGGACCAAACCTAGAGAATGGTATGGCCACAGCAAGGCAGATGCCAGTTGATGGGAAGGAAAACAGTGCCATTCAAACAATGAATGAACTAGCTTGGAGGTAGTGAGTTTCCTGTCCCTGGAGGTGTGCAAGCAGAAGCTGAGCAGTAGCTTCCTGGGATCATCCTAAAGAGCCCCAGGGAGGTTGGACAAGAGGGTGACCAGCCTCCATCCCCATCCCAACCCCAAATCTGGAGCGCCTCAGAATCTCTGTGCTCCTTCCTCCAGAGGTATGTGTCCCCAGTGGACGAGGCCAAGCAGGGCTACATCTGAGAGCTGCAGGCCTTCCAGAGCCCTGAGGCCTACTGAGCCTTCCTGCAGAGGTGTGCAGCCCACAAGGCGCTGTGTGGTGAGTGGGGACGCAGGGGTGGATGGGAGCTCCTCTCCCAAGCCGGGGTCTGGGATGTTTACACAACAGAAAGTGCGCTGGGAAAGCCCTTGGTGTTACTCCACCTCCTTCAGTGCTCACAGCAGTCACCCTGATTGAAGAGCCAAAGCAGTTGACATCCAGTCTCCCTTTTCAGCCCATCCTGAACTGGTTGAAGATTAAAGGTAAGAGGCAGCTTGTTCCCTTCTACTTGGGAGGGTCAGTGGACATTCAGGGAGTGCTGGGGCAGTGGTTACTTTGTAGCGTTTAGAAAAGGGAAAGGAATCACAGTGACAGACCTGGCACGTCTCAAATTCCTGCATGCACATGGTCACTGCGGGTCTTGCTAGTAGGCAGGTTCTGCTCCAGCAGGCTCAGGGTGGGGCATGGGAGTCTGCATTTCTGACATGCCCATGGGCCCACACTGACGATGCTGCAGGTTGGTTCCTGCAGCACTCACCACTCCTACACGTCGCGGCACCCTCCCGCAGCCCAGCATCTCTGCCGTGGGCTTTTCTCAGATGGCCATGGGGCCAGATGTGCAGGGCAGAGCTAGCAAACTGAGCATCCATGTAAACCCATGCAGGCAGCTTTCCACCACCACTGCCATGCTGGCACAAATCCAAGGTGGGTTCCACACCCCAGAGAGTTCCCATGGGACTGAGCCCCGTTCCTGTAATGGCCCTTCCCAGTCACCTGACTCACTCCCAGCCCTACCGGTGCTTCCTGAGGTCAATACCCAAACAAACCATTGACACCAGAATCGTCATCTGGGGGGCCCAGCTCTGCCCCCAGAGCCTGAGGCAGAGGAGGGAACCCTATTCATTGTCTACTCACTATGCCTTCACCATGGAGGGCACCTTCCACTCATTTTTCTTTTTCATGCTTTTTGAAAATATTCTCAACGCAGAGCCCATCAGAGGCACGTTTATGTTGAGACCCACAGGGTGGCCACCAGCCACCAGGATTCCAGTATCCTCTGAGGGGCACAGGCCCGCAGGGCAGCATTGAAGTGTCCTTGTCAGTGGGGGTCCAGGCGCCAGTCTCTGGCCCCACCAGTGGCTGCTCCAGGGCAGAGGCAGGCCTCTCCCAGTGGTCCTGGGTCCACCCCCATTCACCCCGCATGTTCCTGCCTGCGCTCTCCATGGTCCGGGCCGGCCTGCGTCCCTAGGACATCACAGCAAGGCCTGCCTATCCTTCACATTGCCGCCTCTCTGGCTGAGCACCGGAGGAAGCGTGCATCAGGGGCTCTGCCATCCACGAGACTCCAAGACCAGCCACGTGTGTCCCATGCTCCCACCGGGACTGGCTGAGAGAACTGCCTTCCTAGTGACCAGGGTGTGGGCTCCAGAGTCCAAGTACCCAGGTTGGAATGCCAGCTCTACCACTTGGGGGCTCTCTGTGGCCCTGCACAAATTGCTGGAACACTCGCTGCCTCAGTTTTCTCATCTGAAAAATGGGGCTGTCACAGGCCCTTCTCAGGGCTCAGTGTGGATGAATGAGCTAACCCACAGAGAGGTTGGTACTCAGCGCCTGGTACATGGCAAGTGTGCAGTAAGTGTTCACACTTCGTGCCTCTCCCTCTGCGCTGGGGCACGGCCCCCACCCTAACTTCCTCCAAAGGAGGGGTCAGCAAACTTTTTCTGGGAAAGGATAGATAGCAACTGTCATAGGCTCTGTGGGCCACATGGCCTCTGTCACAATCATTCAACTCTATGCTTGTAGCAGGAAAGCAGCCATAGAAAATATGTACACAAAGGGCTGTGTCTGTGTGCCAATAAAACTTTATTTGTAAAAACATACAGAGGGCTGAGTTGGTCCACAGGTAGCTACTCTGGCCCGTCGTACTTACTGGGTTTCCACATAACCTTTGTTCTCAATCAAGTGCCTGTAGATAAAAATAATCAACTGGAAAATCTCTGGTCTGGCATAGAACTAGCAGATGTACCCACGCCTGGTGGCGTCTGTGATGGTTCCAGGGGAGCTGCAAGGCCTCTGGTCCTCATCATGAATGTCAGATCTCTTGGTACCAGAGCTAAGCAGAGGGTGCCTAAGAACAGCTGTCATTCCTGCTCCTGGTTTTCTCCCGAAATGCCATTTGTCCGAGCTTAGCAGAGAACAGCTCATCTTGCTGAATTCTTCATTCATGCTGAGGCCCTGCGGCCTTCTCCTCATTTGGGGGATTGTTTATAAATTGTCATCATGCAAAAAACCTGGTGTGTTACCAAGAACGGTCACTCCAACACAGCTTGGTCTTTAAACAAATAAAATATGTCACTGCCTTATTTAAAACATAGTAATTTTAAGAGTTAGCCATATAAAATGTATTAGTAGTCAATATGCATTTTTAAAATATCACCTAGAATCTGCCATGCTAAGAAATGAAGTTTTCATTTTTGCTCGTTTCTCTCTCATCTTCATTCCGTACCTAGCCAGGTGCTTATACATTGACATCAGAGGTACCTGGTGTTTCCTCTTGGCTCCCTGGGGTTTTCAGGCCTCAGATTAAATTGAACAGCATTGATCCTCCTCCTCCGGCAGGTAACACGAAGACCCCTCAAATGATGTTTGCAATCAAAGAAGGCGGCTCTGACCCTCTGATTGGTGTCCCCCAAATAGGGCTGAGTCCTTTTCTGAGACAAATTCTTTTTTAAAGGATGTCTTTTGTTTCCCATCAGAAACAGGGACCCCAGGAAGTGAATTTGAGAGTGAGGGCCTTGACTTCTCAGAAATTGATGTCAGTGTTTTGGGAGGGAAGCTGCATCACACCTCATTTGGTGTGGGAGGCTGAAAAACGGTCTCTCCCGGAAGACATCCATGTCCTAATGCCTGGCCCCTGTGAATGTCACCTTCTGTGATGGAAAAAAGGTGGGAGGGTTGGAGGATGTGGTGAAGGATCTTGGTGGTGGCAGGGCGGGGGGAAATTATGCAGCCACCAGTGTCCCAACAAGAGGAACGCAGAGGGAGATGTGACCCAGGAGAACAGAAGTTCTTGTGATCGCAGAGGCAGCCTGGAGCGATGTGGTCACCAGGAGAGGCTGGAAGAGGTGAGGAACTGGCTCTCCCCTGAAGCCTCCAGGAGAACTGTGCACTGCCCACACCATCATGTTGGCCCAGTCAGACTGATTTTAAACTTCTGGCCTCCAATACTAGGAGAGAATAAGTGTCTGTTGTTTTTTGGGGGGTTTTTTTTGTTTTGTTTTTTGGTTTGTTTTTTTCTGTTTTTTTTTTTTTTGGTTTTTTTTTGAGACGGAGTCTCGCTCTGTCGCCCAGGCTAGAGTGCTGTGGTGCGATCTCAGCTCACTGCAAGCTCCGCCTCCCAGGTTCACGCCATTCTCCTGCCTCAGCCTCCTGAGTAGCTGGGACTACAGGCACCCGCCACCACACCTGGCTAATTTTTTGTATTTTTAGTAGAGATGGGGTTTCACCATGTTAGCCAGGATGGTCTCGATCTCCTGACCTCGTGATCCACCCGCCTGGGCCTCCCAAAGTGCTGGGATTATAGGCTTGAGCCACCGCGCCCGGCCCAGTGTCTGTTATTTTAAGCCACCAGTTGATGGCAGTTGGTTACAGCAGCCCTAGGAGACACACATTTGAACACAGGAGACTGTGGATCAATGAAGTGAGGCCCACACATCCATCTCTTACTCCGTGGCAGCGTGTCCACACGGAAAGGAGTCTGAGGCTGGCTGGGTGAGGCCAAGAAGACTCACAGGGCAGCGATTCTGAGATGACCTCTAATGGAGAATAAATGAGAAATTCCCAGAGGAAGCCCTGGACGGGGTGGATGCAGAGGTACATGATGCATACAGGGTGTTCCGGGCAGAGGAAACAGGATGTGCAAAGGCCCGGAGATGGGCAGCAGCGTTGCAGGTTTGGGGAGTCATGAGCAGCTCAGGATGCCTGGACCAGGCTCTGTGCCTGGCGTGTGGGCACGAGGATGGGGCTGGGTGGGGAAAGGACTCATCCGATGTGGGAACAAGCTGGATGGAAGCTGGAGGTGTTTCCCCTTTGAGTTTTAATTGACAGTGAAATATACGTTTAATTAACAAATGAAGAATGACTGAAAATGAGTTTTAAGGGGCAGATTCATGTGTTTACAATGGCATTTTCTGGAAGGCTACACAAGAAACTATGTAGTGAGTAGAAATGGGGTGTTGGGTCTCTTGTGCTTTTGACTTTATACCCCCTCCTTTTTTAAAATTTCAGCATGCACTTATAATCACTCTGTAAGTGGCTTTGCATACAATACCTTGTATCATCAGGACATGACTTAAGGACTTAAAGGGCAAAAGACTTCCTGAGTGCATCATCTGCCTGAAAGGTCAGTCCTCGGTGGACCAGGCTGGGTTGCTGTGGCAGGAGCCACTTAAGTGGGGTTCCAGCCTGCAGCCACTCCCGATGGAAGGGGCCTGCTCTGGGCTGCAGGCTACTCTCCCAGCAACCCAGCCACCCTCTCCTGGAGCCTGCCTTGGCTCCCCATGGCCTTTACGATAAGGCCTTCCACAACCTGGCTCCCATCTCCCTGTCCAATGTCATCCACCCACCACGTCTCCCAGGCCTCATGGAGTGCTGCCAGTAGTGAGCATACAGCGAGTTCTAGAACCTTACTTTCTTCCTTACCAACCCACAACCACCTCCACATCCCCAGGCATCCACTATGATCCGTTTGCAGCACACCCTCCAGAAACACTCCACAGACATGCAGGCACCTGCACCTGCAGATTAGCGCATACATATTCTGCTAAAAGGATGCGTTCTTGTTTCATCTTAGAGTTCATTTTGGTTTAAGATTTCAGAAAACCTCTGAAAATAAGCAAGACCTGGAATTGGTTACATGCCCTCTCAAACAACACCGCCAACTGTCAAAACGCACCTCTATCTACCGAGGCCCTAGCACTTTCTCTCTCACCGGATGACAGAGGTCTTGAGATGAATTGAAATTCTCATCTATGCTCAGACAGGCATCACACCTAGCAAGGAAATTTACAGTGGGGAAAGGGAGTTGCCAGACCCAGCCCTGTCCACACAACGCCCATGTGTCTTTTTCAGCTGATTTTACGTTCAGAGAAGGCTGGACCGCCTGAGCCTCCTCCCTGCTCACCTGAAACCCTTTCTGTCCTCAGGGAGATGAACACAATGGCCTGTACTGTGGGACCTGCAGGCAGCTCTTCAGCTCCCTGCGCAACAAGAAGCAACCTGCTGCAGAGGCAGCACCTGCAGCGCCTCACAGGTAACCAGCCTGGGCCAGGCTGCTCAGCCACAAACACTGGCCTTGACTCCACCTGCACCAAAGGTCACCAACGGGCAGCTCACGTGACACCTCTTGTTATTAAAATGCAATTTTAAGACAGACTCTAGCCAAGCCCACTTACCACCAGGTAGGTGTTTAGAACAGGATAGGTCTTCCACTGTATCTGTTTTCCTCTTAGTTCACCAGGCTCGCCTGCTCTGGGCCCCCCAGGACACAGACCTCAGCTTCTCCTGGAGCCCTTGGTCACTTTATTCCAACTCTACGAGCTCCTTAACTATCCCAGAGCACCCCAGGCCCATAGCCACCTCGGGTCCGGATGCCGCATTCTCTGACATGTGGCACATTCTGGGTGCCCATGATTATGATCAGGTTCTGTGCCCATGTGGCCTCAGGGCTCTTGTGACCACCCTTCATCCAGGTCTTTGCTCACCTGTCTCCTGCCCAAGGATGCCACCCCAGTCACTGGTGCAAACTCCAGCCCCTGCCCGTTTCTCTTCATGATTGCATCGCCGCCTCGCAGCCTCTTCCACTTGCTCATTCCTGGTGTTATTGCCTATCTCCCCCTGGAAAAGAAGGCCCTCAAGTTCAGCTATTGCTTTGTCTGTGTTGTTCACTGTGGTGAACCCTGGGCATAGAACCACACCTGGCACTCCCAGTAGGTGCTCCATAAGTATCCAATGAGTGGACGAATGAATGAATGTGTTCAACAAATGACCCTGGAGCATGTATTCCTTCCAGGAACAGAGCGAGGTGCTAGGGACACAGGAAGGACGAGGCAGAGCTCTGTGCTAATGAAACTAAGGGCCAAGCATGTGGATGAATATGAATATCCTGGCATTAAAACATCTTGCATTCTAGTGAAATGAGACCCATTGGACACAGAGAGGCCCCACTACAATTGCATCTGTGTAAAATCGAGAGAATGATCATGAAAACAGCCATGGCAGGTGCTGGACTAAGGGGTGACATTGGGTTTTCTCTTCCCACCTATCCTTTAGGGTTGTTAAAATAGAACTAGGTTTCACGTTCACATGCTCTGCAGTCTGCTTCCTGAGTCATGCAGGGCCAGCTATGCAGCCACCCTGTGCTTCCCCGGCCTCGTCTGTAAAATAAGGATGACACCGCCTGCCGGGCAGTGCTCTCCCGTGAATACACAGTGCCTCGTGCAGGGCCCAGTGCAGCTGAGAGGTCACCTCCTCCAGGAAGACTGTCCTGACCTCGACTTGGGGTTGGGCCTCCCCAGGGCTCCTAAGGCTTCCACACATACCTTTCACTTTGCAATGATCATCCCCTGTTACTGTCCCACAACACACATTACACACAACACTATACAAACATATGCACTCTACACACACACAACATACACATGCGCTACATATAACACACACTATAGAGTACATACACAACACATACCCCACCCTTCACACTCATATACACACATACACTACCCACATACACTCCACACACGTGTAGTACGCACTACATACGACACACTCATACCACACACGCGCACACACAGGTCTGGAGGGCAGTGCTGTGTGGGGATCCGGGCGCATCCCTGATCCATAGCAGATACTGAATATTTGCTGAAGGAATATCCAGGAGGCTCGTGCTACGTCTGGTGTTTGAAAGGAAATGAACTGTTCTTGGTAATGTCTTGTTTAGGGTGAATAACGGCACTGAAGACAGAAAATGCGTCTTATCACCTGCTCTGGAGCAAAACATGTGTGCTTGGATGGGTAGAGTTATTCTGTGTAAATTACCCACCAGAGAGAATTCAGGCCTATTTCAAAATCTATAAAACCACGTGCTGGGGAACCATGAAAAGTTGTAGACGTATGTGGCCGTGAACCAGTGTAACTCTCTGGGGGCCTTTGTGATTATTTAAAAGGAAACAGACATGGGCAAACCTTGTTTCATCTCCCTTCTAAATCACCTACAATTGTACAGTAGCAGTCGGGCTCCTGAGAGCTTTCCCACTTCCGCTTTTCTTGGTGGATCTTTCTGGAAATCAGTGCTTCCGGCAGCTGCCGTCTCCGAGGCTGGGCCCTGATTGGGGAGGGGGTTGTTAACCTTGCATTCTTTAGGGCTCGGGTCTCAGATGGTTCTTGTAGCCCTGGGATCTGAGGAGCGAGACCAGGCCTTGGCTATCTCCACCCCGGAAGAACCTTCCCTGCTCTTCCACATCCAGCCCAGGCCTCGGCTTCCTCGTCTGCAAAACGAGGTGCTGAGAAGATGGGGGCAGGGGTCCAGCATTTTCTTCAGCACAGCTGCTGAGCTGTAATTCCCGTGCCATAGTGCCCACTGGCTGAAAGTCTATACAGTTCAGTGGTTTCCAGTACATTTTCAGACATGTGCAGCCATCACTGCAGTGGACTTTACAACATCTCTGTCACCCCAAAGAGCAACCCCTTTTCCACTGGTGTCACTCCCCCTGCTCCGCATCCCCAGTCCAGCAGCCTAGGACAAGCTTTCTGCCTCTGCAGGAGTTCCCCAAGTTTCAGGACTTGATGTCTCCTTTCTGTGGGGAGTCCAGCAGGCATCTCCACCTAGGGACAGCTTAGTGGACAGTGCTGTGTCACCATCAAGGGCCTGAATCCCTGCTCTGTCTCCTACTACCTCTTTTACCTTGGGCAAATTCTTCACCCATTGCTTTGGTTTCCTCAGGCGAAAACAGGATCATCGTGCTAACCTCAAGGGCTGCTGTAGGATTCGATGTTCCTCATGTCACAGTCTCTAACCGTGTGGCACATTCTGGGTGCCCATGGTTACGATGATGGGTATGGGGACTGGAAGGATCAGTGATTTTCTGCCTCCACCCCCTCTTAGGAATGGAAGGCACCTGCTGTGTGGCTCCCTGTGGTTCCCTGCATGCTGCCCTTCTCCTGCTGTGGCTTTTCACCTTTGTGTGCCAGTCTGGCACCTGTTCATGCTTCAAAACCCCATCAAAAAGACAATAACAGGTGCTGGCGAGCATGTAGAGAAACTGAAACCCTGCTGCTCTGGCAGAGTCAGAGGGCACACTGCATTGGAGAACAGTCTGACAGCTCCTCAAAAGGTTAAACTAGAGTTGCTGTGTGATCCAGCAATTCCGCTCCAGTGGCCAATCTGAGGTTTCATTCTAGGCTGTCTGTTTCCAAGGACTCTGTTCTTTACCACTTTCTATGTGTATACCCAAAGAACTGCAAATGTATCATCAACCAAAAATATAAACATGAATGCTCATCACAGCACAGTTCGTAATAGCCAAAAGGTGGAAACAAACCAAATGCCCATCGAGGGTTGAATGGATAAACAAAACGTGGTCCATCCTTACCACAGCGCAACGTTGAGTCGTACAGAGGAGTGAACTGCGATATGTGCCATGATGTGGAGGAAACTTGAAAACAAAGTGAAAGAAACCAGACACAAAGGACCACACACTGTGTGATTCCATTCACACGAGATGTCCAGAGCAGGAGATCTGTAGAGGCAGAAAGGAGATTGCTGGTTGTCTAGGGCTGGGTTTCGGGAGGATAAGGGAGTGACAGCCAAAGTCTGAGAGGTTCTTTTTGAAGGATGAAAATGTCCTAAAATTGCCGTGATGGTTGCATGTCTGTGAATCTACTAAAAACCACTGAATCACCCTCCCTCCCTCCCTCCCTCCCTCCCTCCCTCCCTTCCTTCCTTCCTTCCTTCCTTCCTTCCTTCCTTCCTTCCTTCCTTCCTTTCTCTCTTTCTTTCTTGAGTCAAGGTCTCACTCTGTCGTCCAGGCTGGAGTCCAGTGGTACAGTCACAATTCACTGCAGCCTCAACCTCCCAGGTTCAGGTGATCCTCCCACCTCAGCCTCCCGAGTAGCTGGGACTACTGGCGTTTCCCACCATGCCTGGCTGGTTTTTTTGTAGAGATGGGTTTTATACCATGTTACCCAGCAGTTTCGAACTCCTGGACTCAAGGGATCCATCCACCTCGGCCACCCAAAGTGCTAGGATTACAGGCGTGAGCCACTGCACCCAACCATGATGTGTGAACTACATCTCAATAAAGCTGTTAGGCCAAAAAAAAAAAAAAAAATTATCAGTCAAGGACCCTTCCCCCAAGAGGCTTCCTCTGGTGGCCTCTGCCCCTGCCTGGTCCTGACGTGTTCCGCTTGTCTGTCTCTCTGTCCACCAGATGGGGGACCCTGAGGCGGGGACTGATTCGCACACATCTGGACAGAGAGCCAGGCCTGGAAGTGCTGCTCATTCTATGCTCATGGGCCGACCTCTGTGACAGGCTTTCTTTGCTTTTTAGGGGAATTCAAAAAAGATTCTGCCGCATACTCAAAGCACCCAGAGCCTCTGGAAGAAGAGAAAGGACAAGATTCAAATGAGGCTGAGTCAGAGGAGGAAGCTGAGGGCCCCGAATCCCTTCCGCTCAGAAGTCTGCATCCAGAGAGGAGTTTTGCTTCACTCGACTTGTGTTTCTCGCAAGGGTTTGTCTATAGATTGCTGAAAAGTGAGTAATCAAGTTCAGCAACTCCCTGGCAACTGTGATGACCTAGGGTTTATAATCCTAGTCAGAGTAACCTACAGAGAGGTTATAATATGAGGTGGAACAAAACAGAAAAGTCGCTAGAGGAATAACGATAGTAAAAATTACAATCAGATGAAGAATAAAGTTTTCAATGAGGTACAGTTCTAAGCACTTCATACAAATAACCTGTCTTAATTCTCATAAAAGTACTGCGAGGCAGATACTAATATCATCTCCTTCTAAAGATAAAATGCAGCACAGAGAGGTTAAGTAACTTGTCCAAGGTTGAACAGCAAATGGCCAATCTGAGATTTAAATCCAGGCTGTCTGGGTCCAAGAACTCTGTTCTTCACTACTTCTCAACAATGTCAACTATGTAAAATGACACACACACATAAACCCACATCAATGGTAATGGTGGTTATCCCTGGCTGGCAAGATGAAAGAAGATGTTATGTAATTCTTCAGTCCTTTCTGTGTCTGCCACATTTTCCCCAATGGATAGATGTCAATTAAACTATCAGAGGAAGAAACAAACTCTATTAAAAATTATTTCAAGGGCTGGGCAAGGTGGGTTACACCTGTAATCCTAGCATTTTGGGAAGCCGAGGTTGACGGATCACCTGAGGTCAGGAGTTCCAGACCAGCCTGGCCAATATGGTGAAACCCCATCTCTACTAAAGATACTAAAATTAGCCAGGCATGGTGGCATGCACCTGTAAAAAAATCTCAAGAATGAACTGTTTATACAGGGCTACCAGTCATCACCTGCATAAGGAGGTAGGTACTAGTAGCATCTCCATCTTCTTTTTTTTTTTTTTTTTTTTTTTGAGATGGAGTCTTGCTGTGTCACCCAGACTGGAGTGCAGTGGCACGATCTCGGCTCACTGCAACCTCTGCCTCCCAGGTTCAAGCGATTCTCCTGCCTCAGCCTCCTGAGTAGCTGGGATTACAGGCGTGCCACCACACCTGGCTAATTTTTGTATTTTTAGTAGAAATGGGGTTTCACCATATTGGTTAGGCTGGTCTCGAACTCCTGACCTCGTGATTCACCTGCCTCAGCTTCCCAAAGTGTTGGGATTACAGGAACATCTCCTTTTAAAACTGAAGACATTGTAGCACAGAGAGGTTAAGTAACTTGTCCAAAGTTGCACAGCTAAGGAAGGGGAGGTTTTGGATTGAGAAGAACAGACAATGATGGTCTTCTCTTCCCTTTCCTCTCAGTCAAGGAATTGGAGCTCAGGGAGCTGAGGAGGACTGTAGAAAGAGCTGGAGCAGAGGAGGAGGCCCTGCAGAGGCAGCTGGTGGAGTTCCAGGTGATGGCCCCATGTGCGTGCCGGAGGCTTGGGGCGCGAAGCGCCCACATGGCTCAGCTGGTGGGGGGGCCCACCTGGAGGTGCTTAGGAAGCAAAGAGTAGATACCACTTGGTCCACTTAAAATGGTACTCTACAAACCCTGCATGCTAGGATGTGTTTGCTATGTACCCTTATAAAATACACAGTGTTTGGTCCCTTGGTGTTCCTGGTGCGTGGGAATCTGTGCCATGAGCCTGCTCGTGTTGCTTGCTTGTTTCACTCAATACTCTATTTCATCCATGCTGCCACGTGGCCTCTGGCCTCTTCTGTCAGATCTGCCTTGTGGGCCCATTCCCTTCCTGGCAGGTCCCAGTTTGCCCCAGCTCCCCACACCCATAGCTAGGGGTGTGAAGAACATCCTTACACATGCCCTTTTATGGAGCTGTGGGGTGGGCTCTCTGGGAAGAGGGGTTACCTGGTCATAGGCAGTATGTGGTGTGGACTCTTCAATGGCAAATTTTGTAAGTTTAAGCAGTCATGGTGGTTCCCGGTAATGAGAACAAAGGGAATAAAATGAGGAGAAACCATGCGTATTGTCACATTTTAAACATTTGTTGTTTTGGCTAGATGTGGTGGCTCCTGCCTGTAATCCTAGCAATTTGGGAGGCTGAGGCGGACAGATCACCTGAGGTCAGGAGTTCAAGACCAGCCTGGCCAACATGGCAAAACCCCGTCTCTACTAAAAATACAAAAAAATTAGCTGGGCATGGTGGCACATGCCTGTAATCCCAGCTACTTGGGAGGCTGAGGGAGGAGAATCGCTTGAACCCGGGAGGTGGAGGTTGCAGTGAGCCAAGATCACACCACTGCACTTAAGCCTGGGTGACATAGCAAGGTTTCATCTCAAAAAATAATAATAAAATAAAATAAAATAAAATTGTTGTGTTATTCTGCTTATAAAATTAACATATTCATTGAGGCTGGGCGTGGTGGCTCATACCTGTAATCACAGCCCTTTGGGAGAACACAGCGGGTAGATCACTTGAGGCCAGGAGTTCGAGACCAGCCTGGCCAACATGGTGAAAACCCCGTCTCCACTAAAAATATAAAAATTAGCTGGGTGTGGTGGCGGACGCCTGTAACCCCAGCTACTCAGGAGGCTGAGGCACGAGAATTGCTTGAACCCAAGAGGTGGATGTTGCAGTGAGCTGAGATTGTACCACTGCACCCCAACCTGGGTGACAGAGTAAGACTCTGCCTCAAAATAAATAAAATAAACATATTCACTGAAGAAAATTTTGAAAATTTCAGAAAAGTATATGAAGAAAATATAAACCCTATTGTTAACATTTCAGTGCAGTGTTTCCAGTCTTGTTTCTATAAATATCTGAATCTATCCGCCTACTTCTCTCCCTACCTAAATATATCTGCATGGTATTTGTATATCTGCATATTTATCTTATATTTATCTAAATAAATATATCTAACTATATCTCTATATAGACATAGAGATAGAAAAATGGAGAGAAAGAGAGATAGGGAGATGGACGTAAAGGTAAAATCCATCCTGCAGCTTCCATTTGCAGAAGAGCGTGAGCATTTTCACATCTCCTTTGACGTTCTTTTAGCAGGAAAACCTGTGTGTGCAAAGGGAAGGAGGTTGGAAACGCAGAGGGAGGGAGGGAGAAGAGCAGTAAATGATGCATCCTTGTGCAGAACAGGAGGATATACTCTTTTCTTTAAAGAAAAAATCATGAATGCCATTTCATCCTAAAATATTCCGACATGATCCTTCGGACAGTCAGAAACTGCAGCCATTTCCCTTCCTCTCCCTGGACGTTTTCACTGTTAACATCTTCATGCGCATCTTTCCTTCTAAGCATTTTTCTATTTATGGATGAATGGGTTGACAGTCGGAGAGTTGAAAACCGGAACTTCTCAGGGCACCGCCAGCAAGCAGGCTTTGTCCTTGGAGCAGGGTCCCTGGGGGTGACGTGCTGAGCCAGGTTTCAACACGTTAGATGGTGGATGGTCTGGGGGACATTTGCCAAACAGACCTGATGCGGCCTCACTAGTGCGTCACTGGCCAGCCGTCAGCACCGTACAAACACTAGCAGAAAGGCTCGTCTGTCAGCAGCACGATTCCTATTTCCTTTTTTTTTCTTTTTTTGAGACGGAGTCTCGCTCTGTCGCCCAGGCTGGAGTGCAGTGGCCGGATCTCAGCTCACTGCAAGCTCCGCCTCCCGGGTTTATGCCATTCTCCTGCCTCAGCCTCCCGAGTAGCTGGGACTACAGGCACCTGCCACCTCGCCCGGCTAGTTTTTTTGTATTTTTTAGTAGAGACGGGGTTTCACCGTGTTAGCCAGGATGGTCTCGATCTCCTGACCTCGTGATCTGCCCGCCTCGGCCTCCCAAAGTGCTGGGATTACAGGCTTGAGCCACCGCGCCCGGCCACGATTCCTATTTCTTACCCAGAGGAGGGCACTGTTCATATTGTTCTTGGTGTGCTTCCTGTGCCTCACTTAGCACTCCTTCCCGTCTACACATAGTCCCCTTTGTTGTCACCTCTGTACGGTGTGATGCAGCCAACCCCAGCACCCTGTCCCTGTTGATGGACACTGCAGTGGGAATAGCCTAAGGTTACACCAGCACACGATGGTGCGGTGACTCCTAGAGCACACCACGGCTGGGCACAGGCTGGAGCACTCCTGCTCTCAAACAGTGAAGCTCAGGCCCAGGCCCCTGGCATGAGAGGGGTGGGTGGGCCCTGCTGTTGCAGAAGCTTAGAGAGACCCTTCCCTTCCACGCCGCTCCCATTCCCCTGACCTTGAGTGACAGCACTGGCCTTGGAGTGATTTCCATGTGAAATTTTACACATACCTCATGTAGGATTAGACGAAAGTGGTCAGGCTCAAGGGCTACTAAGGAAAAAGGAATAGGCAGACTTGGGTCTCATTGGATGCAGGGAGCAGGTAGGAGACACGTTCTTTAGTGTTAATAAACCCACCAGCCCCTGTTCTTTCTTCCTTGACACTCAGATGCAATTCCTGCAGTCATGACATTGGCCGCTTTGGGAAGCAGTGAAGAATGCTGTGGGCTGTTGGGCAGTGGGGTGGGGGCTGGCTAACGTCAGATGCGCATTCACATGAGCATCCTCACAGGGAAGGTGTGATGGAAGGTGCTGGAGCTGGCATCTGGGCAGTGTGATGAGAAAGGAACCTGGCTTTCAGAAAGCAAAGTTACAAATGCATCTAGCATCAAGTAATGTCCAGAAACCAGTTTTGCCAGGTTCAGCTCCTTCCTGGCTCCAGCCACTCTCTCTACTTCCTGCAGTTCCCACTCCAGTCCACTCACTCAGCTCATTCCTTCCAGAAGACATCTTCTGAGCACCTACTGTATGCCAAGCCCTGGGCTTGGTACTGGAAGTCCAGAAATTAGGGATGTTTTATGACTTCACAGGGCTTTGAGTCTCAGAAGCGTGGCACAGGGGTAGTGAATCAGGGGTACCAGTGTGGTCAAGGCATCGGGGTGACCTTGAGTCATGTACAGCAGGGGTACCAGGGGTGCCAAGGTGGGGAGCAGGGCTTCAGCCTTCAAGACCCAGTCCCAGGGCAGAGCAAGCCTCCAAGTTCTTTCCCAGGCCCAGTAGGTCTCCAGGAGGGTTTAAGAGGAGAGTGAGTGAGTTACGATCAAGTGAGGCTGGTGCTCCCCCAGCTTTGTCCTGGCAGTAACTCTTCCTCTCCCTTCTCAACTCTGCAGCATACAGCCATGTCCTGCCCCAGGACCAGCCTCCAGGACCCCTCCCAGGTGCTCAAGGGTGGCTTCCATAGCAGCAAAGGAAGGACGGAAAGTCCCAGGGCTTTGCAGATGGACAGTCAGACAACTTTGCTGACCAAGGAGAAAATAAATTGTGTGTGCGTGGGTGTGTTCATGAGTGTGCATGTGTGTGCATGCATGTGCATGTATGTGTGCATGTGTGAGTGTGTGTGTGTGAGCAACCAGCTCAGTCTGTGTCTGTGTCTGGGGCTCAGCAGAGCATCTGCACTGTAAATATTGCTACTGTGGACTATAACCTGGGTAGCTTTGATTTGGGAAGATTTTGGTAATGTGGCTCCATCTTTCCACACCTGACATCCCTCAGAGGGACATGTACACACCTACTCTGACCATGTGCACAGGTACCAAGCAGCTGTGGGGACAGACCACTTCTGGTTTTGGCCTCTGGAGTCCTTATTTAGAGCCCATTGCTACCTCCTGTGGGCCTTCGTGGTGACTTGGGGCACAGTTGATTTTCTCCATTGAATTAGGACAATAATCGTTACTTGTCAGCCTCAAAGAGTAGGGTGAAGATGGAGTAAGGCAATCAACTTGTCCAGGTTTGGATCCCCAAGAAACCAACCCTGAGATAAGCATTTGCCTGCAAGTGGGTTATTTGGGAGGTAATCCCAGGTAGGGGATGTTATAAATACATTTTCATGGCCGCAAAAGAAATAGCACTCAGACATAAATTTCATTTTCTCAGCAAGGCAATTTTACTTCTATAGAAGGGTGTGATTCATGGATGGAGCCATGGCAAAAGCACACCTGAAAAAGGGAGGGGAAGGGGTTTTTATTCCTGACACAAGTAGCCCCTACTGCTCTGTCATTCCCCTGTTGGCTAGGGTTGGACTGCACAGTCTAAGCTAATTCCGATTGATCATTTCAAAGAGAGCAAGGACACGAGTTGGAGTGGCGGGGTGAGTTGTTTGGCGGGAAGGACAGTTACAGAACAGGTGACTCAAGGTGACTCAGGCCAGAGCAGGTGACCAGGGGTGACTCAGGACAGAGCAGGTGATAGAGGCTAGGAGAGGGTTGTTTACTGAAACTAGGGGCAAGGAGACAAAGAGAACGAGGAAGTTAAACTTCAAAATGAAGAACGAAGAACGGGGGAGCAGAACATACGGATATATTGGTTCTTTGGAGAGTCTCAGAACTCAGTGTACTTAACAATTTACAGGCTAAAACTTTTTAAGAGGAATTTATTATATCACATAGGGAGTTATGGAAGAGAAACTGCAAAGGGAAGACAGCTTTGTGAATTAGGGGGTTATCCCAGCCACTGGAGCCGGGAAAGCCTGAAGCCAGCGCAGCCCCTGCATCTGAGAGTCAACACGTGATGGCGAGGTAGCCAGGGTGTCTGTGCAGCAGCTCCCTCCAGTCTGCAGGAGGACCGCTTCCAGGAGGACTTCCGGCCTGCTGTGCCGGTGGCAACGTGCGCACAGAAGGCCAGAAGAGCCCGTGGGCAGGGAGGGCGGTGCTGCCCCTGGGAGGCTGTGCCCTGGGCGCTTGGGTGTGGGGGTCGCCAGCGCGCCTGGGAGCCGATCAAGGGCGCGCACCCCGCAGTGGGAGAGGGGGTTCCTGTGCAGCGCGGGAGGAGCTGCCAGGACGGAAGCTGTCTGGGGCAGAGCCCTGGCCACGGTGGTCTCGCAGCACAACGAAAGCACAGGGACTGCGCAGTCAGGAGGCGCTCGCTCTCGGTGCAGCCACCC